AGCAATGAGAACATTCTGGCACCCTGAGTCCCCATGGCACCAAGGGGCCAGTGTGACACTACGGGTCCCCCATGGAAGCAAGGGGCCAGTGTGACACAGCCAGGCTTTGTGGAACCAAGGCTCCATTGTGATCCTGGGGAGCCCAATAGAACCAAGGGTCCATTGTGCCATTGTGCATTTCCATGGAACCAAGGGAACCACTTTGACACTGCAAGACCTCATGGAAGCAAGGCGCCATTGTGCCGCTGCAGAGCCAAGGAGACCATTGTGGTATTGCTGGGCCTTATGGAAACAAAGATCTCTTGTGATACTACGGAGCCTCATGACACCAAGAGAACATTGTGATGCTGCAGGGCTCCAGGGATCCAAGAACATGGAACAGTTCTGGTTGGCTTGGCCTGGCTGGTCCAGCTGACCTTGGCATGTTGAGGGTTGCTTCTCATCTAGCCCTGGAGTTGTGTGCTTTTCTTCCTCTGGGTAAGAACTCTCTTTTTTCCTCCAGGGGTTCATGGCTGAAACTGGGATTCTACCTCCATATTTGATTAAATCTACAGATTATCCCATATGAATCCTGCCAGAACAGAAAGCTCTGGATGGCCTTGGCATGTTGGGGGCCACCTCTCATCTGTCTTCAAAACAATGGGGGGGAGGGTGGGTGTGCTTTTCTTTTCATGGAAAAGAACATCTTTCAATGCAGGTGTCCATAACCAAAATTGGGAATCCGCCTCCAAAATTCCGTATATCCAAGGATAGCTCCCAGACAAACACTGCCAAGACAAACAGGTCTGGCTGGCCTTGGCCTCCTTGGAGCTGCCTCTAATCAGCCTTTGCAACACTGGGGCTCTGCCCTTTCCTTCCTGTGGAGAAGAACTGTCATTCTGGTCCAGGAACTCATGGCTGAAATGCAATTCCACCTCCAAAACTCCACAAATATCCAAGGGTTACTTTCAGACAAAAGCTGCAAGGACAGACAGGTCTGGCTTGCCTTGGCCTCTGGTGACTGCCTCTGCCTTCAAAACCCTGGGGCTCTTTGGTTTCCTTCCTGTAGAAAAGAACCGTCCTTCTTGTCCAGGCAGCCATGGCCTCAAGCACATGAGCACTGTACAGGGACAGAGGAGCTCTGTGCTCAGTGGGATGGAGACTGAGGACAGCAGAGGAGAGGCCTGGGAGGGATTGAAGGGTGGTTTCAGAGATGGTGGATCCTTTTGACATAATAGAAAAAATACAGAAAAAGAAAGAATTAATGAAAATGGCAGCTGGGAAGGTGCAGACTGGACACAAGGAGACAGGAATTTCCCTCCCACGGCAGGGCTGTGGTGCAACACATCCCCAGAAGGGGTCTGGGTCAGCCCAAGGCTTTGTGTGGGCAGGCAGAGGCAGGCAGGAGGCAGAGCTGTCAGCAAAGGAAGGGCCCAGCCAGGTGGGGCAGCCAGGGGATGAGTTTTACAACATGGCTTATGTGGTCCAAGACCTGTTCCACATTGCCAAAAGATGGCTGCAGCCTTGGGGATATTTAGTTGGCCAACACCCATGTCAATCACTGTAACATAAGGTGACCAGGTGATATTCACATCAGACCTCTGTCATTAGTTTGGTTCCACTGAAGGACAGAAGCTTATTCTGTATTATCTTCATTTTGACAGTAAGCGCAGTGATACTGGAGTCTTCTGTAGCAGGGGACATGGTATACCATATGGAACATGTGGACCATGGTAAAAGATGCTAAATAAATAAATAAAATACATTAAATTTAAAAACACATTTATAAATAAATAAATAAAAACATTCCCAGATGTTCCAGGAGCACCTCAGCCTCATGGTCTGGGAAGAAAACTTATCACCATGAGTCAGCAGAGTGGCTCTCCAGATGGCTTTGCAGAATGGCTGGTATTACTGCCTAGTGTTACAGGGTTAATATTGGGGTGCAAGGAAGCAGCATTTTTGAATTTCACTGGACTTAATATGGAATGTTAGGGGAAGAACCAAAGAAGGAAAAGGGAGGGATCAAGGTGGTTTGGAGAGAAATAGACATAGGAAAATAGAGGAAGAATACAATAAGTGGGGTCAGTCATGCTGACAGATGCTGACAAATGCTGATCAGTGTGCTTGTAAGGCCAAGCCTGCACTGTTCCATAGTGCCCTGTTTCCTCATTAGACTCAATGTGTATTTTCTGACTGCTCTGCAGAGCCAGTGGGATCTGGTGGAGTCAGATGAGAAACCTTTTTGCACTCTTGTCTGTGTGTATGAACATGTCTGTATGAGGCAGCTGAAAAGTTGAGTGTCCAAAGGCCAGCTATGGGGTGGTCCATATGGTGTTGATAAAGGCACCCTTTATCAAGGTATACCATGATAACTTATCCTTTGGGGCTCAGTAATCTAAAGATTTATAGAATGGCTGACGGATAGGCCTTAGTTACCCTTAATCACCCCTTTTTTCCTCTAAAAATACAAGTGACATCAGATTAGTTATAATTTTACACACAAATTTGTTAAAAAAGAAGCACCATAAGGCTGCAGGACAAAGTCACTTCCCAGTTGTCCTCTTCAGTTATGTTTCAAGCTTCCAGAACAGTAGTTATATTGCAAAACGCATGGATTCTAACTTGGCCCCTTCCTGGACTGCTACGGTCATGATTTCCAATGCCTAAAATTATTCCCAATTATTTTTACCTTTGTATTAGATATTACATAATAATAATAAGAAGGACACCCTTCTATTCAGAAAGGTCAGTTTCATAATAATGAAAACAACCAAAGGATAGTATACGGACTTATGATCCTATATTTTCAGAAAAAAGGGATGAGAATGTATGTTTTGGTGTTCTGTAGCCATCCATGTGGACAACATTCCAATCTGCCAAGGTATGTGTCCAAAAGGTAAAGGGGGACCTGTTCCCAAAGCCTACAGGGACAGAGGCGCAGGGCAGGGACACTGTAGGACAGCCTGGGCTGCACAGGGCACAGGCATGGGCAGCAGCTGCAAGACAGCCCTGCCAGAGCCAACTTGGGCAGCACTTTGGCCATGGCTGCTGGGCCTGGGCCTGAGGCAGGAGCAGGAGACAAGTGACCCTTGCAGGCCTGGGGCCTCATGGCCTCCTTGTCCCTGCTCAGCAGCCTGGCAGGGGCCGCCCCATGCTCCTGCCCTTGGCATTGCACATCCCCACATGCCAGTGCCCATCCCGGCAAGAGCCCTGAGCAAGGAGGGAGGGACAGGATCTGCCTGGCCAGGCCCTGGGGCTCAGGCCTTGGCCCTTGGCATTCCTCAAACACATCCAGCTTAGCTCAGCACCAGAGACACCTTGGCCTTGTTAGTCCCCAGCTGTCATCACTGCCTCCAGTGTTCTGCTCTAACTGGAACCTGGGGACACTTTCTCAGTTCTGCTGTTCAGTGGGACCTGTTAAAACTTGAAGAAACTTCAGAGTTTCAATTTAATTTTGAGTTCTTGAGAAGTTTTCTGAAGACTCTCTCAGGGACTGAGTCTGATGTAAACAACACCAAATCCCCAAGAGGCTCATTAAAGTCCTTGTGCTGTGTCTCTGCTGCTGAGCTTTAAAGGAACAGCTCTTCCAGGGCCAGCTCCTCTCCCAGCCCAGCAGGGCTGAGGGCTCTGCCTGCAGGCACTGAGGGGACAGGAGCCAGGCAGAGACAGGCTGAAGGCAATCAGGATTGGGAAGACATTGAGCTGAGACTTCACCTGGGGAAAGATCTTCACAGCCCTGTGCATGGTGAGTGTGTGGGTGCAGGGCAATGTCCCCTGTGCTCCTGGAGGGATCTCCTGAAGCCAGCACACCCCAGAGCCTGGGGCATGTGTCAGGAGGACTCTCCCAGTTTCTCTGTGGCACAGGAGGAGCAGGAGGAGCAGGAGCAGGGGGCGGAGGATGTGCTGCAGAGCGGGGCTGCCCTGGGCTCCGTCAGAGGGACAGGGCAGGACGGCTCCTGCTGCCAGGGACGGCTGCAGGGGCTGAAGCTGGGGCTGCAGCCAGGGCTGCCCAGGGCTGTCCTGCAGAGCAGCTCCTGCAGCCCTCAGGGCTCTTGGCCAGCCCAGGGCATGTGCCACCTGCCAGGGGCAGCTCTCAGCCTGCCTGGCAGCTCCCCATGGACGCTGCAGGGGAGAAGTTCCAGGTGCAAGGAGCCACCCCCATCAGGGCAGATTCCTCCTGCTCTGGAGATGGTGCTGCATGGCCAGGGCTGCTCTCAGCTTTCTCCTAAAGGGAAGGGAAATGGGCTGCAAGCTTTGGCTGTGTCACTGAGCCTCCTGCACTGTCAGCCTGGGCATCAGCAGATGGGCCTCAGATCTCCCTCAGAAAGTGCCTCCTCAGCCTCCTCTCCCTACACACAGCAGCAGCAGCACCTTGGCTTGCAGCATCTCTGTTTGTCTGGCCTGCCCTTAAGGCCCTGCTGCCAGGGAGATGCCCCTGGGCAGTGCCCTGTGCTGGGAGGGGTCTGCAGGGCAGAGCTGAGCCTCCAGGGCTGGGCTGGGCTTTGGCAGCACTGGCAGGGACAAGGCTTGGATAGAGAGAAACAGCTCCCAGCAGGCACAACTCCAGGCAGCAGAGAGCCAGACCAACCCTTGGCATCCCTCCATGTTCAGCTGCACTGGGAAAGAAAGAAGGACTTAGAGAAATCGACTTTAAAGCGGGAGTCTTTAAAAACTCCACTTTATTTTTCAAGCTCGTTTTATGTTTGATCACCCTGAATTAGAGGGAAGTGAAATATGCAAAGGGCACCTGTGTGGGGACCAGCAGCTCTGACTGCACTGGGACACAGGGAGCCCTGTTTTCCTTCTGGGCTTCCCTGGGGTTCAGCCTGAGAGCAATGCTGAAGATGAATCAGTAACTCAGGAGCATAAAGCCAATCTCAAAAATAAAAAGGCTGAGTGAGATTTCCCCACAGGTAGAGAAGTAATTTTGAGGGAATTCCTAAAATAACTCCATAGGATTGACTCAAAGAGCTTCTGAATGTCTTGTTTCAACAGTCCACCATGGCCAGAGTGAAGGAATGTCCAACAGCAGCTCCATCAGGCACTTCCTCCTGCTGGCATTGGCAGACACGCGGCAGCTGCAGCTCCTGCACTTCTGCCTCTTGCTGGGCATCTCCCTGGCTGCCCTCCTGGGCAACGGCCTCATCATCAGCGCCGTAGCCTGCGGCCACCACCTGCACACACCCATGTTCTTCTTCCTGCTCAACCTGGCCCTCAGCGACCTGGGCTCCATCTGCACCACTGTCCCCAAAGCCATGCACAATTCCCTCTGGGACACCAGCACCATCTCCTACTCAGGATGTGCTGCACAGGTTTTTCTATTTGCCTTTTTCATTGCAGCAGAGTATTTCCTCCTGACCATCATGTGCTATGACCGCTATGTGTCCATCTGCAAACCCCTGCACTATGGGACCCTCCTGGGCAGCAGAGCTTGTGCCCACATGGCAGCAGCTGCCTGGGCCAGTGCCTTTCTCCATGCTCTGCTGCACACGGCCAATGCATTTTCCCTGCCCCTGTGCCATGGCAACGCCCTGGGCCAGTTCTTCTGTGAAATCCCACACATCCTCAAGCTCTCCTGCTCACACTCCACCTTCAGAAAAATTTGGATTTCATTGGTTGGTGTCTGTTTAGCTTTTGGTTGTTTTGTGTTCATTGTTTTCTCCTATGTGCAGATCTTCAGGGCTGTACTGAGGATCCACTGTGAGCAGGGACGGCACAAAGCCTTTTCCACCTGCCTCCCTCACCTGGCTGTGGTCTCCCTCTTCCTCAGCACCTCATTTTTTGCATACCTGAAGCCCCCCTCCATCTCTTCCCCATCCCTGGATCTGGCAGTGTCAGTTCTGTACTCGGTGGTGCCTCCAGCCCTGAACCCCCTCATCTACAGCCTGAGGAACCAGGAGCTCAAGGCTGCAGTGTGGAGACTGATGACTGGACAGTTTCAGAAATATTAAACTGCTGACCAGTTTCTGTAAGTCACTTGTAATAAATTTTGTCTTTGATTATACTTGGATTTGGTATTTGATTTGTTCTTTTCTTTCCTTTGTCTTAGTCTTTTAATCTTGTCTACAAAAATGGCATTGTTTGTGTCATATTTCATTTGTTTTTCTCCACCTTTGCTGTGGCCTCAGACTGTGTCCATGAGGACTGTCGCCTTCTTGTGAAGGCCGCGATGACCTGGTTTCAGAGTCTAGCACTTCGATCTCCTTCGTGGGATCCCTTGTGGCCAATAACGGACACTGACACCAATGTGGTGGACGGTTAAAAGGCCGTTTATTGAGGGGTCTTAAGGGTATTTATGGACTAAGGAGTCTCTCTACGTCAGACAGGGGTTTGGCTATACTTTCTAGGGTTAGTGTGGAGTGGAAAGTTACTGGCATGCATAGGTTAGGGGGGCTACACGTCTGGCTACATTCCAAGGGTGATCCTTATCTATGGGGAGAGGGGTAGAAGGATTCCTGTAATTTTCCGTTACAGCCCGAAATCTTCCGAACGCCTGTCCCTTACCTACCACACTTCCCTCCCCTCTTTCACAAATGAACGAGGTAGTCTTATACATAGGCACTAAAATGAGGTAGGAAGTTGAGATCTGACTAGGGAAAAGGGTCTTGGGGAACCTGAGTAAGCTTCTGCCAGGCAAATCTCTCGTGACTGGCAGCGTTCCCTGTTGAATTCACAGGAATTGTGGCTGTCCCACGAACAGGATGCTAGCCCGTTCTAGGCGGGCCTGAACGAATGAGACTAGCTTGTTCAGCAGGCATGGCCCGAAGGTAATAGCTAAAAGCAGCATTGCCAATGGACCTATTAGGGTAGAAATCAGGGTGGTTAACCATGGTGATTGATTGAACCAGGATTCGAACCAGTTCTGTTGGGCTTCCCTGTCTTTCTGTCTCTGAGCCAGTCTGCTTCGGAGTTCTGCCATGGAGTCTCTAACGACTCCTGTGTGGTCAGTGTAGAAACAGCATTCCTCTTTCAAGGCAGCACACAGGCCCCCTTGCTGCATGAACAGGAGATCCAGTCCTCGCCTGTTCTGCAGGACCACTTCTGAGAGCGAGGAGACTGACTTTTCTAGAAAGGAAATGGATTTCTCGATCCTCTGCAGGTCCTCATCGATGGTCATCTGCAGCTGGGACAGTCCTTGGTGTTGAGTTGCTAGGGCTGAGACACCTGTTGCCGTTCCAGCCGCTCCTAGGCCGAGCAGCATTGCGATAGTTATACCTGTTAATATTTCTCTCTTGTGGAGCCGGTTGTTATTTTCGAGAAGGTGGTACACCTCTTCGTCTGAGTGGTACAGGATCCTAGGGATGATCAGAACTTGAACACAAAAGTCGTTAGAGTTATCGAATTTGGCAAGGAACACGCAGGGACTCACTCCAGATCTCTGGCAAACCCACATCCCAGATGTGGATGGGACTACCCACTTATTATTCTTCCTGTCGGGCTCAACTACTTCGGTGCAGACGTCACCTTTCCGCTTAGCTAGGGTTGCATTGCCAAAGCATCTGCCCTGACCTGTGACTTGACTCAGGGTAATTCCTTTGCGGGGTGTGTCCCATCTGCACTGGCGAGGGGCATCGGCTGTGGAATAGCTGAAGGGGGTATCTAAAGCGACTCCTTCGTAAAAGGGGGGTTTAACATCGTAGCAAAGCCAGCAGGAGTCGGTTAGGTTAGGGTTAGATTCATTCAGGGATAGAAAGGTAGCTTCTAACATGCGAAGGATTGGGTCTGAGCCTGACCTGGCTGAGCGGCCTATCTGGAAGGCTTCCTCATCGCCAGTCGGGACGTCGGTGACCCTTGTGGGTGAGGGTTTGGGGTAGGTCATGTTTCTCCCTTTCTGTGTGCTTTTGATCACTTTGTTGGGCCCAACTGCTCTGGGTGCTGACGGTGGGAGTCTGGTAATTCGCACATTCACCCACTTTCCTGACCCTTGAAGGACTACTGTCCATGCTTTGCCCACGGCCCAGCTAGGGTGATTTGGCTGCAAAACTGTCATGTTATAGTGAGTGCACTTCCGGAATTTGGGGACTTTATGTTGGTTCCGATAGAAACTTCCCTGGAGGAAGATGGGTGTTTTGCAGCCTGCGGGTGCCCAGGTGAACTGTAGGAATCTGTCGGGCTCTTGTGGGTCCCACCCAGGTCCTGACAGCCTGGCGTCTGTAACTATTGTTTCGCAGCCCCAGTGTCCACAATATCCCCACCCTGGGCGATTGCAATAACTTTTTCCTGGGTTTGAGGCTGGGCACCAGTAGGATAGGTACATGTGCGTGGCATGTGAAGAATGGGGGTCTACCTTTTGTTGTTCTGGAAACAGGTCGGTGATGTGAAGCACGAAGGATGGGGCGTTCGGCGTGGTGATGACTCTGAGCATCTTGTCACCAGCAACATGTTGCATGACCCACCTGAAGGGCTGATGAGGGTAATAGTCTGGGCTGGCTTGCCCTCCGGCGACAAGCCCCAATAACATGATCACGCAGAAACACCGTGTTTGCTTGGGTCCCGCCCGTGTGGGTCTCTCAGGTGCTGTCCGGCGGCTCGGTGGACTGTCACTTTCCTCTGGGAGGGGAACGTATGCATCCCGGGAACGACCCATAAGCATGTCCTGTAAATAGAAACTCACAATTCTCATAGCAGCGCCTGGACTGGATCCATGGGTCGAATCGTCTTGTTCACTTCTCTCAGGTCGTGGGCGAGACGATAACCCTCTCCGGACCTTTTGGGGATTACAAACACAGGGGTGTTCCATGGACTGGTGGAGGGTTCTATGTGACCCTTTTGCAGTTCACGGTTAACCAGTTCCAGCAAAGCTGCCACTCGAGGCTCTGACAAAGGCCACTGCTCCCTCCAAATAGGATCTGATGATTTCCAAGTCAATTTGATCGGCAGCTGAGGGTGTACAGCAGTGGCCCCTATGATAAATTTGTAATCTTGACTCCTAGCATAGCAAGGACGTCCCTTCCTATTAGTGGCGGAGAGTTTTGCAAAATGTAGGGGTAAATTGCTACTGTCTGTTCTGGTCCCTTGTTTGTGTGAAGTGTTATAGCCACCAGCTGGGTGCTTTTCCACGCCCGGGTTTGTCCCCCCACCCCGTTCACTGGGGGGACTTCCTTAAACCGCCAATGTCTGGGCCAATGCAGCTGAGGGAGAATCGTGCAGTCTGATCCCGTGTCTACCCAAAACTGAAGTCCTACAACGTGGGGGTCCTGACTGCCATAGAGGCGGCATGTCCCCCTCACCCTCAGGGGTTCCTTCCCTATTTTCATGGCCAGGGCCACCCAGAGGTCCCGGTTTGGGGCGTCCCCTGCTGGTCCTGTAGCGCTTGCATGGCTTGTGATGATGGGGGGTGTGAGGGTACGGTTGGTGGTACTGCGTAGCTCTGCCATTGTATCGCTGGCGGGGGTGCGATACTGACCGCCTCCTGTGGGAGCATAGGGTATGAGGATCCCCTGCCCCACTGTGGGTTGGCATAGATGGGCCGTCTCGCATCCATAGTGGGAGGGGGCTGAATATGGCCCGCACGCCCCCCCCCCTCCCGTTTCCCCGGGGCCGGGATCTACAGTCCCTAGCGAGGTGACCTCTCTTCCCACAGCTCCAGCAGGTCCCTCTGGGGCGCTGTTGGGGCGAGGGTGTTGCCTGGGGATGCTGTGCCGGCTGGGGGCAGTTAGCTGCAACATGACCTGACTGACCGCATTTGAAGCAGGCCATCACACTGGTTAGGGTGTGCACGGTTGCCTGAAGTGGGGCCAACTGCTCTTCCCTCACAACATGCTTAATCATGTCAGCCAGGCTGGCCCCGGCTGGTAGGGAACGCAATATATCTTTGGTTACGGTGTTACATCGCTGCCGAAGGCAGTCAGTTACCACCGGGCCTTTTGCGACAGCGGGTAAATTAGAGGAGTCCACGGCAGCCTGAAGGCGGTCAACAAATTGTGTAAAGCTTTCACTCTCCCCCTGTTTGATGGTCGACCACGGTGTCGGTCTGGCCACCACCCTGGATGTGGCGCGTATAGCTTCTCTGGCCGCCCGGGAAGTCGCCCTGACTTCCTCGATCCGGAGCTGGGCAGCTTGTTGCTGGGGTGTGGCCACTTCGTCGTGCTTCCCCAACAACCTAGACAAACTCGACCCGTGGAGTGGCTGCCCTTCCCCCGCCGTCTGAGCGAGCATGGTTGCACATTGGTCCGTCCATTCCTGTTTAAATATTATCAAACCCGCCCCATCAAAAAGCATACGGCTTATTTGCACTATATCGAAAGGGAGTAAATCATCATTGCTAAAAAGACCATCCACGAGAGTGGAAACCACCCCTGAGTTAATTCCTTTTTCTGAAATGGCTTTTACTATTGTTTGAACGTCTTTGGAATTAACGGGAGTATATGTTCTTTGCTGGTTCCCCTGGGGTCCCGTAATTCTCACCGGGAAGGCATGCACCGATGCTGCGGATGCCCATTCCACGCATTCGATTTTGATTTTACCCCAGTTGGTGAGTTCGTATTGGGGCTGGTTCCCGGTTGTGTTAAAAGTTTTAATTGGTTTCGTCCGAAACCGCATTGATTCTGTTTTCTCTGCTTCCGAGTCGCTGCTGGACTCGGTGGGCTCCGCAGAGCGATCTGGGGAGCTGTGGCTCCCTTCAGAGTCGGAAGTCGACTGCCAATATACTTCCGGTCTCTGCTGCCATTTTGTCCGGCTACGGCCCCGCTCCTCCCCTCGGGGGCGGTGCTGATGTTGCTGGCGGTGCCGCCCCCTGGGCTCGCCCTGCCTCCCGCAGGGAGGGACTCTCCCATATATGGTGGCATCAGTGGGCGCGGCTCCCGAGTGAGTGCCCGCCCTCTGTCGCACCCCCACGCATGCGCGTCTGCTGGGATCCGTGGCTCTCGGCCGGGCATGGGCTCAGCGCTGGTTTCCCGCGCATGCGTGTTCGCGGTTGGCCGCGGTTCTGGGTTCTTCCCGCCGCGGGCCGGCGGGCTCCACCCCTCTCCCCGGCCACCCGCGCCATATTCAAACGGGTAGGGCGGCGGATCCCCTCCGCCGCTCGCCCGCGCGCCAGCCCTCTCGATATTTCGGGCTTCTGCCGCCAACCCCTCCCAAAAGGACCGTGCGAGTCCCTCCGCTTCTTGCGCTAAGTTGGCTATCGGCGGGGAAGGGTTGGGCGAGGGGTCCGCGGGCACCCCGGGGGGCTCCGGAGGTGGTGTGGGCCCTGGCGGGTCCCCCGAAAGGGTCAGGGGGTCCCCCGGGGGCTCCGAGGGCTCCGGGGGCTTTGGGCTGGAGGAGGCATGGGACACGCCCGGCCCCCCCGTCTCCCCGCTCTCAATCGAGTCGCCACCAGGGGGGTTTCGCATTATCGCCCCCTCCCCCAGCTGTGGCGCGATTAACAAACAGGAGCGCGCAGCGTTCCACGTCTCCCGTTCTTCTAATGCTTTGCGTAGGGCTGCTTCGGCCTTCCCCCACGCTTTCAGGCTTTTGCTGCTGCCTGTGGCTTTTGTGTCCTCTGCTAGCGCGACAGTACATTTCTGCCACACCTCAGGGTGCAATATATCTATGGGTCGAGAAATGACCCCAATCTCTAGGAGTCTCGTCAATGCGAGATTAAAATTCCTGAGTTCACATTTGATTCCCCATTGCACATGGATCAAACTTACGACCTTCGCTATCGCTTCCATACGAATCGCGGGTCCTGGGGCGTCCCCCTTCTTGGCTATGGCCATTCCGGCGTTGAGTGCTGTCCCCTGGCCAGGAGTACCCCCGTCGCCCGGACTCGTCGCTTCCCGGGTTTCGGCACCACTATGTTGCCTTCTTGTGAAGGCCGCGATGACCTGGTTTCAGAGTCCGGCACTTCGATCTCCTTCGTGGGATCCCTTGTGGCCAATAACGGACGCTGACACCAATGTGGTGGACGGTTAAAGGCCTTTATTGAAGGGTCTCGAGGGTATTTATGGACTAAGGGGTTTCTCTACGTCAGACAGGGGTTTGGCTATACTTTTTAGGGTTAGTGTGGAGTGGAAAGTTACTGGCATGCATAGGTTAGGGGGGCTACACGTCTGGCTACATTCCAAGGGTGATCCTTATCTATGGGGAGGGGGGTAGAAGGATTCCTGTAATTTTCCGTTACAGCCCGAAATCTTCCGAACGCCTGTCCCTGGCCTACCACACTTGGTTCCCTGAGGTTCCATGATGTCACAATGGTCTCCTTGGTTCCACAAGGTTCCATGATGTCACAATGGTCTCCTTGGTTCCACATTGTCACAATGGACAATCGGCTCCATGGGCCCTACTGTGTCACGATAGACCCTCAGTGCCATGAGGTTCTGTGGTGGCACAATGGTCTGCCTGGTTCAACGAGGCCCTGGAGTGTCACAATGGCTGCTTGGTTCCATGAGCTTCCATAGCATCAACAATGGTCTCCTTGTTTCTGCAGTGCCATAATGGACCCTGGTTCCATGAGGTCCCTAAATGTCACTGGTCTCCTGGGTTCCATGTGGCCCTGCTGTGTCACCACGGCCCCTTGGTTCCATGAGTTTCTGTACTGTCAGCAATGGTTCCTTTGTTCCAATGAGGCCCTGCTGTGTCCCAATGGACCATGGGTTCCATGAAGTTCTTCAGTGTCACAATGGCCCCTTGGATCCATGAGGTCCCACAGTGTCACCATGGTGTCCTTGGATCCACACTGCCATGATGGACCATTGTTGCAGCTGGAATAGCTGCTAATAAAGCCCAGGGTAGGGAAGCACAAAGGGCCTTTGCATGGTACCCACAGATGTTTGATTCAGCCGTGCAGTGAGATGTTCAGGGTCACAAGGCAGGACTCCTGAGGGGAGTCCAGGTTTCTGTATCTCCAGAGGAAGGGGCTGATCAGTGCCATGGGGCAGTACAAAGATGGGGCCAATGGGGAATGAAGAGGGAGTGGCTGAGGGACATGGGACAAGGGGAAGGAGCCAATGGGGTCAAACAGCTTTTGAGGGAAGCTTCATGTGTCTCCCTAAGCCAGGGAAGCCTCTCAGGGTCTCCACAGCTGCACAGTGTCAAAATGGCCCCTTGGTTCTTTTGGGCTCCTCAGGATCACAGTGGACCCTTGGCTCCATGAGGCCCAGCTGTGTCACACTGGCCCCTTGCTTCCACTGGGACCCATAGCATCACAATTGTCCCCCCTTAGTTCCATGAGGCCCCTCAATGTCACAATGGACCTTTGGTTCCATGAGTCCCACACTGTTCCATGAATCCTTAGTTCCATGGGGCCCTGTATTGTCACAATGGTCCCTTGGATCTGTGGTGCCACACAGGGCCACAATTGCCCTTTGGCCCAACAGGGCCTCATAGTGTCACAATGGACTCCTTGGTTCCATGGAGACACAAAGTGCCACAATGGCCCTTTGGTTTCATCAGGCCTCAAAGTGTGAAAATGGCCTCCATGGTTCCATGAGACCCTCCTGTGTCAAAATGGACTTTTGGTTCCATGATGCCCCATAGTTGTCACAGTGGTCTCCTTGATCCTGCACTTTAAGAATTCCCCCCTTGGTCCCATGGACCCCCACAGTGTCACTATTGTGCCCTTGGTTCCATGAGGCTTTGCTGTGTCACAATGGCCTCCATGGTTCCATGATGTCCCATAGCAGAGCAATGGTCTCCTTGGTTCCACAGTGTCAGAATGGCCCCTTTGTCCCATGGAGCGCCACAGTGTCACTGTGGTCCCCTTGATTCCACGAGGACCTGCAGTGTCACAATGGTTCCTTGGTTCCAATGGGTTCTGAAGGGTCAGAATGTTCTCCATGGTTCCATGAGGCCCTGCAATCTCCCAATGGACCCTTGGTTCCAAGGGCCCCGCAGTGTCACAAGGCTGCCTTAGTTCCACAAGGCCCTGCAGTGTCATGGTGGCCCCTTGGCTCCATGAGGCAAAGCAGAATCACAATGGCCCCTTGGTTCCATGGAGCACCACGGTGTCACCATGGTCTCATTGGTTCCACAGTGTAACAATGGACCTTTGGTTCCATGAGGTTCCTCAGGGTCTCAGTGGCCCCTTGGCTCCGTGTGGCCCCGCTGTGTAACAGTGCCAGGTGGTTCCATGAGGCCCCACAGTGTCCAAATGGTCTCCTTGGTTCTGGGAAGCCCCAGAGAGCCACAAGGGACCCTTGGTTCCAGGAGGCCTTGCTGTGTCACAGTGGACTTTTGGTTCCAGGAGCTTTCACACTGTCAACAATGCTCTGAGCACTGCAGTGTCACCATGGATCCTTTGTTCCATGAGGTTCCAGAGCATAACATGATCCCCTTGATTCCAGAAGGTTCTGCAGTGTCCCAGTGGACCATTGGTTCCATGCAGCCCCACATTGTAACAATGACCCCATGGCTCCAGGAGCTTCCACACTGTCAGCAATGCTCTCCTTGGTTCCCTGAGGCCTTGCTCTGATACAATGGACTTTTGGTTCCATGGGGTTTCACTGCATCACAATGGACCCTTTGTTCCATGGGGTTCCACAGTGTCACAGCTGACTCCTTGGTTCTGTCAGCCTCTGCTGTCACCAAATGTCCAAAATATCAGAATAAGACTCCATAACACTAATTTGTTGTTTCAGAGGGTATCATTTATTCAGGCCTAAGGTCCAACATGGAATACCTGCTAACCTTATTAGGACATGTAATTCTACCACTGTGTTGCTTATATACAGTGGCTAAATACGAATTATAACTTACCCATTTCCATAAAACCCACGCCAAGTTCCCAGATTCACTCCTTGTTTTCTCTATCCCTGCACCCTTGAGCCAGATGTCTTCTTCTTCTCTTCCAAGTGTCCTTCTGGGAAAGCAGCCCCTGCATGCCTTGTTCCTGTGCTGAAAGTTCCCAGGCAGGGTAAAAATGGAATGAACCCTTTTGGTATCAGCCCCAGGCTTTGTGTGGGCAGGCAGAGGCAGGCAGGAGGCAGAGCTGTCAGCAAAGGAAGGGCCCAGCCAGGTGGGGCAGCCGGGGGATGCCGACAGCCTGCAGGGACTGAGGCGCAGGGCAGGGACACCGTAGGACAGCCTGGGCTGCACAGGGCACAGGCATGGGCAGCAGCTGCAAGACAGCCCTGCCAGAGCCAACTTGGGCAGCACTTTGGCCATGGCTGCTGGGCCTGGGCCTGAGGCAGGAGCAGGAGACAAGTGACCCTTGCAGGCCTGGGGCCTCATGGCCTCCTTGTCCCTGCTCAGCAGCCTGGCAGGGGCCGCCCCATGCTCCTGCCCTTGGCATTGCACATCCCCACATGCCAGTGCCCATCCCGGCAAGAGCCCTGAGCAAGGAGGGAGGGACAGCATCTGCCTGGCCAGGCCCTGGGGCTCAGGCCTTGGCCCTTGGCATTCCTCAAACACATCCAGCTTTGCTCAGCACCAGAGACACCTTGGCCTTGTTTGTGCCAGCTGTCATCACTGCCTCCAGTGTTCTGCTCTAATTGGAACCTGGGGACTCTTTCTCAGTCGTGTCCCTCAGTGGGACCCATTAAAACTTCAAGGAACTTTGGAGTCTAAATTTATCTTTGAGTTCTTGAGATGTTTTTTAAACAGCATCTCAGGGACTGAGTCTGATGTAAACACCTAAGCCCTGAGAGGGTCATTAAAGTTTTCCTAGTCCAGTGATGTAGAAAGATTTCAAAGAACTTGTCAGAAACAGACATTCCTATTTTAAATGATGTATTTTTATTTTATTTCTCTTTAGAGCAGAGGTGATTGCAGCATTCTGTGATTGATACTGACCCAGGGTCTCTCCTCAGCAGCTCTGGCCTGCTCACAGAAGCTGTGCCTGGAGCTCTGACCCAATGTGGACAACCTTGCTCCACATTTCCCAGCCCCATCCTGTCTGTCCTCACTCCCCTGGGACCTGCTATGCTTGGAGAGCTGGCTGCACCCAGCCTAAGAGGGGTTTTCCCTTTTTGGGGTTTTTTGAAGCAATCTGAAAATCCTGAGTTTCCCCACTGCAAACAGACACACTGCTCAGGTGTGTTCCAGCCCCAGGTGCCACCAAAGCCACTGCAGAGCTGCCCTGGGCCAGCTGTGAGGGTGGATCATCAGCCCAAGCTGCACTGGGCCACTGCAAGGGGCTGTGGCCATGGGCACTGCACTGACCCCACTGCTGGGTTTGGCTGCTACGGCCACCGTGAGA